CCCCCCCCCCCCCCCCCCCCCCCCACCCGGTCTGCAGGCCTGTATATGCAGAAAACCAGACAGATCGTCAGCAGCGTGAGAAGCACCCGAGGGGCTTCGGCTGCCTGCCTGCAGAGCCCCTTCGCTGCCCAGCTGCAGGGGGCGGTCGGGCAGCACGGAGCGAGGCGTCAAGGTGGCGACCTGATGAGCGCCCTCAACGCCAAGCTTGGGGTGCCGCTTTCGTGATACGCATCATGTTTTCATGTGCAAGCGGTGCGAATGGCCGACGACGGACCGTGTGCAAGCTGGTGTTTTTTTTGGTTTTCGTGTTATCTTGTTGGCTGCACTCATGGTGATCTCCCTGGACTCGGCTAGATGAAAGTTAGTGTTTGTTAAGTTTCCTTGACTTTCTCCCCTGCTCGTTGGTTTCCCTGGGTTGGGCAAGATCGTCTACTGCTGGGTGTAGACTGGGCGTGTAGTCTAGCCGTGCCATGGGCGCTCGGACCTAGTCTCCGAGGGCTGAGCAAGACCATGGGTATAGCCAAGGGGTGTAAGCTGCTCGTATCGTGAATGCTCGGACCGTGCTTGGTCTCTTGGTTTCTCTAGTTTTTTTTTTTTTTCTGGCTCTCTGTTCCGGGTCTGCGGTTGTCCCCTGTGCCTGCTGGCGGTGCTAGCCTGGTAGGTGAAGCTTGGTCGTCCGCTAATATTCCGCAAAAGTAGACCGGCGGCGGGTTCAGGCTGTCGTTTGGGCCCACCACCTCGAGATTGGTGTGGCATGAATGTGTCACGCTATTTCCCTGCTGTCGTATTTTTGAAAGCCACTGCTGGCTGACTTCTTTTCAACCCTTCAAGAGTTCGTCCGTGTTCGCAGACGCCGGTCGCTGTTGTAACCTTGTCGCGTTACTCGTCAATCAACGTGCGGAAAGTGAAGCGTGTACGTGTGTCAGACTAGTCTGATTTTATCTGGGCCATCAACCTTCATGGGTACACCGCGCTGATCGGTTGGCGATGCACAGCGGTAATCATGACATGGCCGAAAGGCGTGGGCGCGACCGCCGTGTGAAGTAAAGGCGTACGCTACGTCGAGTTTGAACACGAAGGCAGATGTGCCTCCCTTGTGTGTCTTGCAATGCGTTTTTCATTGCGCAGCACGAACGATGAGGGCGGCCGGGTTTTCCCATTCCAGACACGGCGACCCAGTCGTCCTGTGCATGTGCATAGAACCATTGATCGTGTTCGAGTTACATTACAGCAGTAATTCCAACCAACGACGGAGATCTGTAGCAACGCGTGTTGGCGAAGGGAAAACGAAACATTTTTTTTTCCTCCACGCCCCAGTCTCACTTTGTGGAGTTTCCCTCGCCCTCAATACTCGTTCCATCGCGGAAAGTCAAATCTCAATCCACCCGCGATGCTGGCACACCTGGGTTAGGTGAGATGGCAATGAATGTTGTAGCGCTTCATTCACCACCGCATCCAAGCTGCTTGTCCGGTACATGCGGGCATCTCGTTTGCTACTGCAATACTGTTGCGGTAATTCTGAAGCTATAGCTTTAGCTTCTCAGATCAATATCCGTGGAAGTTGATCACATCAAAAACCCGTTGCGATGAACGAATGGTCATGGCTGCATGTACGTGCACAGGATCCGGACAAAGCACCTACCAACGTCCCCAAAAATCAGGATTCGCGGAGACCTGTAGTACCAAAGGATAAGAGGAGGTTGTGACACGGAGCCCACCAATCCCGCTCGACGCGCATGCTTTGGGAGGACCACAACACAGAGTCTCTGAAGTGCGCATCCAAATTCATGTCGAGCCACTGCTGAATCACAACATGGAGTGGAGCAGTCAGTGAAGTAAAAGCCCCCAACCCCGCCCTTGGAAAGTTGGCCACCTTTTGAAACATTTTTCCCTGACTCCACAACATGACAACCAAACATGGCGATATCAACCGATGGGTTTGTATTCGTGGGTGACTGCGTCGAAGACGAAGCCCTGCAAGCTTTGCGTACAGAGGCCGATGCATTGTTCAACCTGAAGCGCTCTGAGGACGCCCTTACGGAGGACGAGTACCTGCAGAAGGTGACCAAATGACAAACGCCAAGATATAACTAGCAATTAGAAAGCAAAGTGGACAGTCCCGGCGTGAGATATCGCGCTACAACCTGCTTGGGGAGTTAGGGCCCATAGAAGATAGTGCTCCGCTAACGCTATGGACTCATTGCTACCTTATCCCAGTATTCACCCTTAGCTATGGATTGAGATGTCATAGCATCACACCTTAGACATGCTGCAAAGTTGACAGCCCCGCGGTGACACAGAAGCGGTGTCTGATCAGGATTCGGGTCAGGGGTTGACGGAAATGCTGCGCGACCAAGTCTAAATTCTGCTGTTCTCGGAAGATGTTGCTCTGCTGGCACCATGTGACGTCCTTAGCACTTCATTCCTTCTCACAGATGTTGCGGAGTGCGGGTGCTGCTGTAGACTACAGACTCCAAGCCCCGTTGTGTCGGCTAACCGGGTACTTGATACGGACTACCGCTCGCTGTAGACTTAAAAAGGGCGTGGAAAGAACCGCCGTGTACCAGAGAGAAGCACGTGACCAAGCTATGGTGCCCTCGTGCCGACTATCAAACACAGGGGTGCGCGTTGGACTTCTTTACGAACAACGAGCTCCCGGAGGACGACGAAGCGAGGACATCGATGGCCAAGTACATGTCACGGAGAAACGGAAGACGCCGCCGCCGTACCCCTGGAGGCAACGATTTACACCCTAGCGTGGAAAAAGCACCACCGCCAGGAGATTCTCGCGGTGCTAGCAGAGATAGCAGCGGCACCATGTCGGGATTGTCTACTACCTCTCCTTCATGCGGAGGGGGTGGCTGGACAGAACGACACCTATCGGTCGTGCGAGACACCATATTCGGGACGCTGGCTGCCTTGGCGTGGGACGCCCTTAAGGCGGAGCGGTCTGCTGCTGCGGATGAAGATGATGCATTGAGAAATCCTGATGCCTCGGGCGCTGGAGATCGTGGAGAGCTGTTGCTGTTCAACGAACAGTACGTCGTCAAGCCGCCTCGGAGCTCGATTGAGTTCGGCTGGCATACGGTAAGGCGGGTTGCTACGTGGCGAAACGCTCAAGTCAAAAGCTGAGCGCCTTCGTAACACTGTCGCTGTTCAGGGGTTGACCATACCGATACGACTGAACAGCTGCTGTACATAGCTCTCGCTCATCAATCTGTGATGAAAATGACGCACAGATTGTTGCCAACGATTTGTTTCATACGAAACACCGCTCGATCTTGACGGCTTGAAGATCAATATTCCATCCAAGCAAGAACATCAGTACTCCGTCGAAGCAAGACACGTAAACGACGGATGCTCCAATCGGCATCAGGAACAAGGAACTACAAGTAGCTGGGAGTGAGTGTGTCACACAAGAAGCCTCCCAACCTCCTCTTCGCGCATACCCCCGCTTGCACCGTTTCCCTACCACCCCAGACGTTAGTGAGTTTCGTCATTTATTAGCATCGACCTCGCTACCAAGCTGACCAATGATAGCTATTGTCGGAGAACGCTGCTAAAAGGCCATGATCCGGGATCCGGTTAGGGCAGGTCATGCGGCATTCTCCGGATAAAAGACAGAAACGGAAGCAGGCGCAGAGAAATTCATGTGTCTTGATTGTGTTGTCCTGCGGGGGTGGGGGGCGGGGGGGCGTTCAGGTCGGTTGCGGTGCCCCCTCCCCGCGGCCGACGCGTACCCCACAAGCGCACGTCGCGGCAACATGCCGCTGCTGCCCACTACGTTCAGTTTTCGATGGCACTTTTCACCACCTCGCTCGAGGGCGCTCGGGCCCATGGGTGCTGTCGGACATACGTGTAGTAAATAGGGCAAGATAATGGGGGCAGAACGTCAATAGTAAGTAGGCCATGAGGGGGGGCGACTATCGGTTTGCTAGCGGTGATTGTTGTGCAGTATGTCTCCGCTCTTTGCCTACTGCACGTGTTCGTATGGGTGTTGGTTCTCGCTTTTGGGCGGGGAAAACGCCTCCACGACTCGGAGCAACACCGAGAGACCGGCGCAGCAGTTGTTTGTTTTCCTTCTTTTTGTGTCTAGCATTTCGTACAGCCGGCTGACAGCAGTAGCGAGGAAACTACGATATGAGCCAGAAACCACGAGAGGTCAGCGCACGATGTTGAACAGGCGACGGAGGCAGGGTAGGAAGAGAAGGCGGTCAACACAGCAACCTTCGCTCTTGGGAAAAATATGGAGTGACCGGGGAACTCCACCCAAAAACATGCGCATGGAAAATAAGCCCGTTTTGTAGAATTACCTATTGATAGGTGCTTATAACGAAAGTAAATATACCAATACTCTCGGGCGCACCTACTGTCGACAGAAGTATCGTCCGAGTGGACGGTCCCCTGTTTCATTCACGCCGCCCCTCTTTCAAAACATTGCCGTCATCTTTCAAAACTTTACCGCCTGTTGGAACAACCGCACCATCTTTGTTGTTTTTTTGCCAGGACGAGCGGGAACAGCTGGCGATGTGCGTGTTCGCGCCGGGTGCTGGACCCCCCGTGTACGTGAGCGTTTGGCTGGCTCTGGACGACTGCGACGCCGTTAACGGCTGCTTGGAGGTACAGTAGAATGGTCCCGATATACCGCGATGCCGAGTGGTGCAACGTCCCGATACACCGCGCTAACAATCGCTTGTCGCCAAATTCGTCTGCCAAACTAAAAGCTACATGTTCCCCAACACTCGATAGTGCGTTTTCCCGGTAGACTATTCCGCGGTGAGTTTTGGCTGTCACTTCTCCGCGAATATTGGGACCACGACTGTACAACGAACGCGGCGACGACTGGGTTGTTATCCCGAACGGGTAATCTTTTCTGTTGTTGCATGTGCACTTCCTGAAAATGTGGGGATCATCGACACGCAGAACGCTTAGGCTTTGTAGTGACGGGGATTCGCACAGAACCCTCGGCCATGAACTTGATCACTTGTTCCACTACTGTCCACCCTTCCAGGTAACACTTGGTCCACGTTACTACTGCAGTAGTAACTCTAACGGTCCCTGGCCTATAGCGTGTGGTTGACCAAGAAGTGTTTGGGGTTGGATGACTGTCGGCCCACCCTGTTTCCCCCCGTTTGTTTTTGATTCGAGTTGGCGGCCCCCCTGTACGGCCATGGTGGTAGGTCACACGTCACGTGAGCAGCGATATGGAGAACGGAAAAGGGGGGAGGGAGTTGGGACCGCAGCTTTGAACTCAGCAGGTCCTACCGCTTCTGCAAGGCAAATGGCTTACGATTGCTCGATGCGACGAATGAGCGCAAAGCTTTTGAATTCGGCGTGTACCACCGCCTCTGCAAGGCAAACGACTTACGAAGCTGGATGCAACCAACGTTGCGCGATCCGTGTCGCATCCAGGTGTACCCTCAAGCTCGGAACCAGACACGCCAGCAAACTCCGAGCGAGGAGGACGATGCCAGTGTCGTGTGTCTCCCTGCAAAGGCCGGAGACGCGGTTGTTTTCCTGTCAAAGTAAGCTGGGGCTGCCTCGCGGAGCCACTTTGGACGAATATGGTATCCTTGAGCATTTGCGAAACGAGAAAGCAGCAGCTACGTACTTTGGAGCACTCACGACGTGGTACTCGTTTGGATGGGCAAGTGCTGGGCTCGAGAGTGGGCCGGTGTTGGGCTCTTAGCACTGCTGTCTGATTGGCCTGGTGTGGGAACTCTTCTTCCTGCATGACTTTCGGGTGCCGATCAACGGCGCTGCTGTTTCGGCTTCGATCACAATCACGAAGGTATTTGTGTCGCTTAAGAGTGATGTGACGATTGCTGTTGATATGTCAAGTCCGGTTTTCTGTCGTCACAGCTGAGCTCACAGACGCCCTCCTTCTGTCCGTCTATTCTGTCTGTCTGTCTGTCTGTCTGTCTGTCTATCTCTCGCTCGCTCCATCTCTCTTTCTCGCTCTCTTTCTCCCTCCCTCCCTCCCTCCCCCCCCGATTCCTCTCTCAATGCCGCCTTTCTCGTCTAAACAGTCTCTGGCACAGAAGCGGGCCGAACCAGACCGACAACCCGAGGCGCGTCTTCTACGCGCAGTACTGCCTCGACGCCATCCGGGCGGCGCCCTCTGACCCCCGCCCTCTAAGCCTCGCCGTGCCTTGCATGCCTTCGCGTGGCTCGCGGTTCGGTAAGGATGCACCCGACATCGCGACACGGCTCTGCGCAGATGACCGACCGCCCGGCCCTGGCGACGAGGGAGACAGTGCCGAAAGAAGCTCTAGGAACGACGACGCGTCTGTCGAAGTGGTGCAATCATCCGGCGATCTTGAACCAGAGGCCCCTACTAGGTCTTGTGGTGGTAAAGTAGATCATGGTTGTAGAGATGGGGGACGTCAAAGCGCCGAGGGTGCTGTCGTCATCGCGCCGCCCCGAATGGAGGAAGACGTAAAGAGCCCTGTGATGACCGCGAAAGGGGAGGTTTCACGCCTGTCCCGTGGTGTGGCGGCCTCTCTAGAGGTGCTGCTGCGGCGGCGGCCTGGCGAGGCGGAGGGGAATCCGGGAGGAGGGTTGGGAGCGGGCGGAAGCGCCAAGAAGAGAAGTCGACGGGACAGGGAAGATTAGTCTAGGCCGCCCCCAGTGACTTGAATGACTCTTGCTGCAAGGCCGTCGAGATTGGAGGCGGTAGACTCGTCGGCAGCTGGAGAGCCAGCAGATTGATGCGAGGCCGCGCGTGAGAGCCCCCCCTTGAGCAATGGCTTCTGTCTGCGTTTGAGCGTGGGTGATTATATCTCGTTGTATGTGGAACGGCAGCTTGTTTGACCCGGGTCCTGCAGCAATGAATGGGTGTCGGCTTCAAGCTTCCTTGGCGTTCATCCGTCGAAGGGATGGCTCCACTCATCCACAATGGACATGTATCGTGAACGTGTTCCAGAATCCCCCTCCCCAACCTCTGCGAGGCGCCCGCCCCAAGACAGCCTGACTGCGCCCATCCTCATCTTGGTACTGAACCGAACCACCTCTGGCATGCTGAAAACAGAACTCTGACTTCTCTCTCCTCTCAGCAACACCGACTTCCAGGGAGCTCCTCTGCACTACTTGCTGTAGTGACATGTCTCCCCACCCTTTCAAAATGCACCTTCTTATCCTAAACCCTCGGCAGTGCTTTCTCTACCTCTACGACTTTTGCAGACGGGGTGTTGAGTAATGTAGATGGTAGATGGAGTTGTTCAGCCCACTCTATATGTAGATGAGCCGCATTGGTCGCGGAAGAGGCCAAAGCAGGGGGGCGAACGATATGATACCACGGACCCCCCATTGACCCACTCCGCCGCACCCATTCGTGGACCTGCTGCTGTGGTGCTGGCGTGACACAACTCGCACAGGATCGGAACACGCCCTGCGCGTGCCAAAGAACCAGACTGCAGACTCTAACCGTCAACGGTGAGTGCGCCGCTCACCAACCCGAACATCACGCAGGGATGAAGGAAACGGAGACCCAAACACATCATGTGCCATACCTTTTGATCGCGCATCAGTGGTATCCTGCGTGTGCATGTGTATTGCTCCACTGCTGCACTGCTGTACGAGCTCTAGACTACTGTTCGCACATACAGGAGCATCTACGCCTTAGAAAATAGCTACAAGAGAGAGCTGGTCTGGTTCACGTGTCCATGTTTGTTGAGGATGAACAAAGATGCGATCAATAGTAGCGCTCTACACTGCTGCTGCTGCATGCAGAAAAATGGCATTTTTCGTCGGGGTAATAACTCCAAAGGTCCCCCCTCTCCCCCGACACGCAGAATCGACCCACAAGGTTTTTCCCGAAAAAGCGTCCTTAAAGCGGGGTTGCGTCCTTAAAATTCAGGGGACGATAGCTCCCCATCCCCGTGGCCAATGGAGCCATACTATACCTCAAACTACGCGTCTTTTGCTAAGGGGGTGGTACGAAAAGTCAGCATCGCCGAGACGACTGGCAATCGTTTGTTGACGTCGAACATAATTGTTTTTGTGCTAAGCACCAACTGGTATCACTGATATAAATCATCAGTGTATAGGCTTAAACAAACTCGAAATAAGTCAAGTACCCAGCTGGTTTTCCTCTACTCACTGTAAAGACTTCAACACATCCCCTTCGAGTGTAGTTATACCTCGAACGGGTAGTCTTTCTGTGTGTATATTTGTTTCTCCTAATAATTACAATACTCAAAGTTTTCTAAAGCGGGGTCGATTGTGTATGAAAAACCATTGAGCCTCCTGGTAACATCAATATCGCAAATAATTGGACTCTGCTTGTGGCGTCTATGGATGCCTTGGCAATAGCGAGCAGACCTGGAAGATCGTTTCCATCTCGGGGAATGGCAGATGATGTCTCAGCAAACCAATAAAATATTGGCTGTATGTATGCTACACGGTATGATTCAGTATTCCCCAACCGTAGCCCAAACGATGCATTTTTTATCGAAAACGTTTACGTAACCGAAAAAACCCTGGGAAGACGACTGCCGTGTAGAAGTTTCCAAAGCCCCATTTGCTTTGATCTACGGTGCCGCACCCCCTCCCCCCACACACACACAATTTCGGCGAAAACTGTCAAAATGGTGTCATAACCCCCCGGGGTGATTTACTTGTATCTACTTCAAACTTCATTCAACATTGAATGTCCCTCCCTTTGTATGCAGTTTATCCCCGGGGTACGTGCACAATTTTGGGCCTTCTTGGTGAGATCGCCCGTTGCTTTGTCGTCCGCATGATTGCTCACGGGTATTTTGACCATCACAACGTGTCAGAGCTGACGCACCCAGAGTACATGCTTGTCGTGCGAGACACACCATGTTTGGGACGGTCCCCAGTTCCCAGTCTTACGTGGAACGCTTGCTCGTAGATTTTGTCCATTGCGCGGACACCGAGTGCGTTAAGAAGGTTTTTGTGCTTAGCGCCAGCTGGCATCACTGGTATAGTTCAGTGCATGAGCTTCAACATAGGCCAAGTAACCAGCGGGTTTTTCTTACACTCGCCATCTGTGAAGACTTCAACAACATTCCCTCCGCTTCCTGTGGTATTTTCTGGAACGGGAATGTAGTCTCCCTGTCTTTGTATGTCGAATTTCTAAACAATGTGTATCAACTTCGATGTCCCCTCCCCCGGGAGGATCACCCCCCCGCGCAAAACAAAAACGAATCGGGACCGTCGATGCCGACTCGTCGCGAAGGTGCTGTCGCCCTGCGAAAAGAATGAGCCCTTGTTTTTATTTTTTGCTAAGCCTGTGTCCACGCACGCCGTCCTCCCTCCTAACAGGAGCGCTCGGCCATAGGGGTGCCGTCGGTGTTGCGCTGTACCTTCGGGGTCCTCTTCCCGCTTTTCCTGGAAACAGATTGCGAGAATATGCCCGACAGCAGAGGCTTGATGTCAAGGACTCTCCTTCTTGAAGAACACTCCTTGACGCCCCCCCCCCCCCCCCCCCCCCCCCCCCCCCCCCCCCC